GTAACAGTTGGTCCCAGAGGACCAAGTGCAAGGGCCCAACAGTTGGTTCTCGAGGTGCAATTGAAACGGTGTAACAGTTAGTCCCAACGGTGCTAGTGCGAGAGACTAATGGAGGGGCGCAACTGTTACTCCCCTTCCCGTTAGTCCCCGAGGGGACTAATGGTTGTGGCAACGCACTTGCTCCCTTCGGGGACTAAGTCGCGCTCCCCTTTTTCTTAGAGTGACGAGTCTCGATGGCAGCAGCCCGATATTCGGTCACGCATGACCGTTCCAGCATCCACCGGTTGACGTCAATCGTCTGGCCGACTTCCTGGGTGCAGATCCGCTAGTCAAGATAATATGTGTATCAACCGCATCTATGAGACTCCAGAAAAGCCAGCCCGTACGGTGCCAGTGTTTTCCGAGCATAACTAGAAAACGTCTGCCACAATAAGCTACGGGAAAAAGGACGGCGATCGCACCCAGTAACCCCATACCGCAAGAATTCCCCTGACTTCTCGTCACGTCAAGACGCCTTGTATACCAGCATCTTGAAACAATCCAGATATCCACTACTGAGCTGGGGAGCGCCCGGCGGCGCCACATCTGTGCCAGTCTCCAGGTGCACACCCGAGACGCGCGATCGTTTGAGGCCTGTACCGACGACCGTCTCTGGACTCACTAGTGCGAGATACGGCTATGCCCAGCATTGGGTTACTTGTCCGTCGACGTTTTAATAAATACAGTTATTCGTTTATTGAAACAGAGACTTTGTAGTGCTTTCAGGTGGCGCATGCTGCAAAGAAAGCCTACGACAAGATGTCAGAGTTCTTCTCAGCGCAATGGTTCTTGAAAATTTGAAAATAAATTGTTTAAACACGTGAAATGACCTTTAAAACACCGAACCCTTGAAGTGCCGCGCCTGATTCTACGCGGGTGCGATGGTGGAGAAATTCAAAATTTACTGCATTCTATGAATATAACACGTCAGTCTTTAATAAATAAATGTACATACCAAGGAATGCGATCGTGTCGATGGGATTGAAATGAATTCGCGCAGTAGTAATAAAATCTCGCAATAACGCGTTCAAAAAAAAGAAACAAAAAACAACGAATTACCCCTTCCCCTTTTTCTTATATACCTTCATGCCTTCATAGGCGTGCTGTAACACACTGCTTAGTTGAAGAAGATAGTAACTTATTGGTGGTTCCCAGAACTGATAAAAAACTGGTTCTTTTGGAAGAGGGATTACATGGGAGTGATTGATACAAACAAGGCTATTATGCGTGAAGCAAGGTATGAAGGACGGTAGCAGGCATATAGAACATCTAAAAAAAAAAGAATCATTTAAATTTCGCGCCACCGGTGAAAATCATTTAAATTTCGCGCCAAAGACAATCGTGACATCACAATCTTGAGGAAATTGCGTCATATCGTGTTTCTTTGTTTCCTTTTAATAAAGCGTCACTTCCCGTACGTTACAGGCGAGCATGACTAATGACAATGCCACGCAACACACAGATGGCGCTGCGCCCCATGAGCCGCCATTTTTGCGCCTATGGGCTTCTAAGTTCTATGGAAGCTTCGCTACCATCCATACATATACCTTGGCCTGCCTGCCCGCACGCCGTCGCCTCTGCTTCATTCTGCATGGCCTCGGCCCTCTGCTCGTCCATGCGTCGTTTGTGTGTGCCCTGCGTGCCGTCCGTCTGTGCTTTCTGCTGCATCATGTTCGGTCGACTTTGCATCAATCAAGGTGACGCATGACCGCCCGCGTGCTCGCATGCTCGGCGTGAATTTGTGCAGCCGATTGGTTTGAGCTTTTCGCGCTGTTGTTTCCGCCCGGCTGTCTGGCTGCACTTGAACGTGTGTGCATGTTGATTTTCGATGAATTTGTTGTAAAAAAGAATTAAACTTACGACACTGCACACGGCATTGTCCATGGATTTACAGATGACGGTGTTGAACGAACCTTTAACATTGCAGATAGAGCCTTGGTTGTTGTGCTCTCAGGAATTTCCAGGAGATGGGTTTAGCCCATTGGCACACACTGTTGGGCACACACCAACAACGTCTTCTGTTAAATGTAGTCTCCTAATATCTCTCATTCGGGAGCTGAAGACTGTTGGTTTCACAGTAAAGGCTGTTGTCTGTGATTAGGGGGCTTCAAACGTAAGCTTGGTGTGTGTGTTGATAAGCCATTCTTTGAAGTTTACAACGAACACGTTTACTGTGTATTTGATGTTCCGCACCTCTCCAAAACAACCAAGAGCAATCACGAAGCACACAAACTTTGCATTTGAAATGAGGTCATTGAGTGGTCCCATATTGTTGATCTTTATCTTTCTACCCATGAAATAATTAATATGAGCTTGCAATTGGCTCAGAAACTTACTGAGAGACTGATTTTTCAAAAACCTTTTTGTAACATGGAAGTAAATCGTGACGCACAGGTACTGAGTGCCTCACTCTTTCTTGCAATCATATCCCTTGTGTATGCCAAAGAGCTTCCTGAGGCAGCCATGACTACAGCCTATTTCTGTGATAGGATGTACATACTTTTTGATTGTCTAAATAGCTCAAAATTCAAGAAGACAGGGCAGAAGTTGCGTCATGCCATTCTGAAGGGAGTATCTGAAACACTTGATTTCTTATACCAGCAACTCGGATGGCTTTCAGCATGGTAGTTCCAAAGTAGCAGGCAGCCACAAGCTATCATAGGATGGCAAGTTACTATAAAAAAATGTCCTCATGCTCTGGGATGAGCTTTCAAACAGCCATGACTTTTGAGTTCTTGCTCACACGACGCCTGCAGCAAGACACACTTGAGAAACTTCTTGAAGTTATATACGGCAAATGCTGTGCTGCAACACAAACCCAAATGTGTATCAGTTCACCTCAGGACTGAAACACCTAGGGATAAAGAAACTGTTCAAACTATCGGACAATGGAAACGTAGAGGATGACAAGGCTGACTTCCTCATGGAATGGCCAATATCTTTGCACCATGAAATTTCACTTTCAGGCAATGTGGAATGTCTTCCAATTGATCACTTCCCACCACTAGAGGATATTTCTGAGCTGGTATACATCATGATATATGATGCCAGCTCATCCCGTAGCAGCTGAGAACAGCCACAGCTGTGGGTTGTCTGTTCAAACACAAGCTTGATCAAATAGCCCCAAACGTAATAAGTGGACGAGTCATCAATTATGTTAGACCTGCAGGTCTAACATAAGTGATGACTCGTCTGTTAAAGCTTTTGCTTTAACAGACAACTTACAGCTGTGGCTGTTCTCAGCTGCTATCGGATGAGTCTAATAACTTGACCAGGCCTCACCAGTACTTTATTGTTTTCAAAGCATACCACGTGCCTGGAAAACTCTTCAGTAACTTAGTAGTACCATCACAGACTGCCTTTAATTTCATTCAGTAGCTAGGAAATCACTTTCTTCCCATAATAGAGAGTGTGGCGCATGTTCCAGGAGTGTGTGCCACCTTGTATCGCACACTTTGAAGTCTGGGCGGTTTTAGCCTTCGCTCAGAGGAGTGCCACAAAAGGTTTTTAAAATTGTTTAGCAGAATACGGTTGTGTTGGCATGTTTGATTTCTTAACCGGAATTCGGACAAAGTTCGGTTGCACTCTTCAGCGGCTAGTAAGCAACTAGACAAGTTTAACTGTTAATAGTGTATTAACGGAGGCGGTTACCAAACCATAAACAAAAAGCGCTTATTAATTGGGCATTAATTATTTGGGCGATGCAGCTTGCTCTTCAAACATTTGTTTCACCTTTTTTAGCAAATGTGTGTCACGGCTCCCTAACGAAAATATTTATCCACTTTCTACAGATTTTCTATAAAAAATAGTGTATAGAGGCTAAAAATACTCGAAAGAAAATGTATTCATTGCCCATAGTATTTTAGCCGCTTTTTTTCTGAAGCCATATTTCTTTCCTGAACAATATTGGGGAATGTTTAGGGACGTTGAATCTTGTCAGATTTCGAATAGAGTTCTCATTGTTTGGTAATGGCTCGCTTGCAGTGATTTTGAGGCTGTGCAAATTGGTGTTTTCTTTAAATTAGACGGAAGTCGGGAATTTGTACTATCCGATGTGTGCAATTCGCACTCTTATTATACTCTTATTACTGGTAATGATAGCGATGTCTTATTTATTTCTGCACTTACTTCCCGTACCCCAGTCGGCGTGAAAGGGAAAGGATTATTCAGCATGTTCTCTGTAAAAAGTCTTTGTTAACTTGGTTCCGCTAAGAATCTATTAGAAAGTGTACGATACACCGAACTCCTTCATATTCGTTTATTTTTGTGAGTATCTGTTTCGTACAAAACACAGAGCTTCTGAAGTAAATCATGTATACATGAATGCGGTCCAATAAAATGTTTTCGAACCACTTACTGGTTGTTGACCCCAAAATGCTCCACCAGCCAGGAGTCAATGCAGTGATTGTGTAACTTCAATGCTTTACAATAGAAACAGAACAAGAAATACACCTCTGCCTTGTGAAGTTGAAATATTGTTTGAACATTTTGCATGGACTCTATCGTAAAAATGAAAGTAAAAATGCGTCAATATTGAAAAAAAAAAAAAAAAAAAAAAAAACAGCGGCTTTGGGAGTCGAGGAGCTCCCGAGAGTCGAGCGAGGAACGAGGCGGGGAGGAAAGGGAGAGTGAAGGGTACCGTCGGTAACCCGGAGCAGAGACGCTCAAACCGAAACCGAAACTAACTCGACCGGAACCGGAATCAAAATCTGTCGCCCGCTAGGAGCGCTAGCTGTCACTGGTCTATCTGGGCCGCTGGGGCCTATGGCAGTGTGCTCTGTTTACCTTGTGTATATTACTCTATACTTATCGCTAACCCGTTGTCACTTTACAACGAAACGGGGTATAACCGTTGGCTCTCACCCTGCTGGCGCCGCCTGGCTGATGCCGGCTGGCTAAAAAAACGTCTGTGGCAGTACGTTATCTAACGCATAGCGAACCGAGAGAGGGTTCATTGAAGTCTCTCTTGAGCCAAAAGCAGGCGGCTGCTCTTATCAGAACTCTTTCCTGCGTTTCACTTCGGAGAGCCAATGGGCGAAACACAGAACTATTTACACAGAACAAGCTAGAGCCGCTATCTGACGGATATCGCGCCTTGTCAGGCCGTTGCCAGGCATCCTATTTTTTGACAAGAGAGTTGCCGTGCACACTAGTCTAGTGGTAGACTTGGGCTGACTTACTTTGAGCCGCAATCATGGCAGAGTTCGAAAATTGTCAGAAGTGCGGCAGGGACTCCCTCGACGTCTGGATGGCAAACCAGTGCCTGCATATGATTTGTAACAAATGTCTGGTGCAAGAGACCAGCATCGACGACTGCGTCCACTGCAATGCGGCTACCCAGAAGTTCTGGTGCCCCGGGAGGAAGTACGGCTGCAAATTCCAGAAAACCATCTCTGAGACAAAACTGCATATCAAGACGTGTGGGTCTGTCCCGGTCTTCTGTCCCAACGAATGCGGCCAAGCCCCGTCTAAGAAGTCTCTCCCGGATCACGTGAGTTTGGAATGCCGACTTCGTATCGCCGAGTGCCTGTTCTGCGGCGAGGGATGCTACGCCCTCAAGCTCTCCGCTCACCACGCAATTTGCGACGAGGCCCCAGTGTCGTGCACCTACTGCCACGAGGATAATATCCGACGAGGATCGCTGTTTGCTCACGCCAGAGACTGCGTCAAGACGCCCAAGCCGTGTCCTATGAAAAAGCACGGCTGCACTTTCGAAGCCGTCGAGACAGAGATAAAGGACCACTTGAACTTCAGAAACCACATCTCGTGTTTTGATGACATCCACGAGAGGATCCAGGAACTTGAACTGACGAACACCATTGAACGCCGCAACCAGAGAGACGAGGGAGCAAAGCATGAAACAAACCAGCCCGCTGTGATTGGGGGCGTCAGCCTGTTCGACAAAGAACTCCTATGGTTGGTGAAATTACCCAATGCAGCTCACCCTGGCAAAGTCAGTACCATTTTCAAACACCGGGAGACTAGTAGGACCTTTTTTCTCGAGATCAACTGCGCCGGCCCCGTAAAAGGGGAATTACCTCAGGGAAACGAGGAGCTTATGTACAGCATGTATATGACTCACCTGGAGGCAGGAGAGCGCAAGAAAGACATCAACTTCTTCATCCAAGCTGAAAACGTCCCCGCCGATGGCAGGCTTCTGGGGAAGGCCCGCCACAGCTGCTTGGCACCTTCGGCGGAAAAAATATTTGTGCTCAAATTCAAGTGCGCTTCAAGTCATGGCAGAGTCAACATGGTTCTCGTCAAGCTCACCTCTGACTAAAACAAAAAGGAAACGTTGACTCACACCAGATAAGCGTATACCATTTCAAAGTAAGGCAATATTACTCAGCAGTTAATTAATTGTTCTCCTTGTTGAGTTTGTAGCTTCCTTTCTGTGCAAGCCATCCCCAGAAATGTGTGCCATCGTATGCTTGCGCCATCTCTTGGCGGGTTACGGAAGCGCCCCTTTAGAAGCCCATGTATTGCAGATACAAATATGGCCACAACACCGAAACGTTACGCTTTGAACAGTTCGTATGCTACTACTATATTCTATCACGTACCGCTATTCTTGTGCCAAAATTTCAAGATGATGACGTGTAAACTGCAGGTTCCTCGATCGAATAAACTCTTTTATGTATTGACACTCCGGATAGCATCCAAGTTAATCGAAGTGTACAGGTTATTCTCGGGTATAAACAAATTGTTATGATTGTATAAATTAAATAGGATTCCTCCCCAATATTACGGCAAAATTTGTAGTGTCCAAGATGTGTATATCATCTGTAGAAAAATATATTTCGGAGGCAGCTCTCAACAATTTTTGAGGAACAACTAAGTTCAAGCGAGCACAATTCAAAAATAAAGATAAATACAAAATTTGCCATTCCACTACTGTAAACCACAAGAATCGATAATGTGCTGGGTGTATTTTGTTTTTTCTCGAAATCCTTTTCTGGGGTTCCTGAGACTAATTTGCCAAGTAAGGCGGATTCATTCTCGTTTAGACGTTTACGATCATTTCCAGTATTATTCTACTGAGATGAATATGCTAGAGAACAAAAGCAACTGTTTAGCTTCCTGGTGAGGCGCGGGTGCCCAAATTTCAAAAGACGAATGAATGCGTAAAAACTGCCGAACCATCTCCACTTTGATAAGTGATGTCTCGTTAATATGGGCGCCTCCGTTCCCCCATAAAATCGTCCATAATGCGAGTTGTCCATATTAACGAGACAAAAATGCATGCATTTGCCCAGTTAGTCCCCGAAAATGGTGTCCATATAGAGGGGTATCCATATGAACGGTGTCCATGTTAACGAGATATGACTCTACTGGTTTTCTCAAAAAGGATTCGTTTTCGAGTACTTGTCATAGGACCAGGATAAACTCGAGGGCTTTAAATTTTATATTCTGCCTTTAGCTGGGAACTGGGTTGTCCCAAAAAAAGTTCCCTGGCGCGGGGCGGGTGCCCAAATTTAATATAATGAACCAATGCCTAGAAGGAGTCGAACCATCCCCACTTTGACACCGGTTTTCTCATAAAGGATACGTTTTCAAATACTTGCCATAGAACCAGGATGTGCTTGAGGGCTGTAAATTTTATATTCTGCCTTTAGCTGGGAACTGGATTGCCCTCAAAATGTTCCCTAGAGATGCGCGGCTGCCCAAATTTCAAAAGATGAATGAATACGTACAGACTGCCGAACCATCCCCACTTCGAGACCGGTTTTCTCAAAAAGAATTAGTTTTGGAGTACTTGCCATAGTTCCAGGATGGGCTCAGGTGTTCTATCATAGCCTCACAAAGTCTAGCAGTTCGACGACAGAGCCATAGAGTGCCCGGTCGCAGATTGGGAGCGCGAGGATCTGGTGGCACAGAGCATCAAAGAGCCCTTTCTCGGGGAACCTGGACGTCAGCGCACAGCTTTTGCAGCGGCGAGGACCCGAAACACACTTGTTCGCTCGGAAGAAGTGTGTTTCGGCGTCTCGCCGCAGCGGGTCGCCAGTCACGCGGCTCTTCTCTAATCCGCCTGTCTGCCGCCCCACCTTTTCCATTTCGGCGGCCGCTTCTCGTGGCGATCTGCCAGGCTTTGTCACTATATAGGAGGCTATGGCTCTACATTTCATATTCGGCCTTTAGTTTGGGACTGAGTTTTTGTCAAAGAGTTCCCTGGCGAGGCGTGGGTGCCCAAACTTCTAAAGATAAACGAATCCGTAAAAAGGGCCGGTACATCCCCACTTTGATACGATGCCACTCGGTATGCATTGATTTTTGTTGACTTGGAATGATGGATGCGGATGATAAAATTATCATCCGTGTTTTCGTATCGCCAGACTTGCGCCTTTTGCACGAGCACTTTAGAGTACCACCGCGTTTCCCATATGCGCTGGGATTCTTTCTAAAATTTACTGATTTCGTGGTATTCGTCGGCGTGAATTTGAACCATGTGTTTATTGTCCCTAATTAAAAGGATAAAAAATGTTTAGTTTGTGACGATTATCCCCGTAAATAATGTCCCCCTGGTCGTGCAACTTCCGTGATTATACGGCCGTTAATGTAGCCTTTATCAAAAAAAAAAAAAAAAAAACACGATGGGAAGAGCGAGCGGGCCGGCCGGGTCGCGGCGATCGCTTATTGTTCGCCGTCCCCTAGCGGTAGCCGGCGCAGAATCACCGGGGAGCAATGGAGGCGAACGGAACAGCGGACGGTGTCCCCGTCGTGATGGAAACTAGAATTTGTAAACTTGGCTAAATCGATTACTTTTACCCCTTCCCCTCCCCCATCTAATGTTGTTTATTTTTGTGCTATAAGTGTGATGGTGAAAAAAAACAACAAAAAAAAACAACAACAACATTTGTATGTCCATGCTGTCCTCTTTCGCTGCTGTGGGGAGGCAGAGGCTCGTCAAGCAACAACTGAGTTGCTTTTTTCTCTGTCTCCCCCCTCTAAACGGAGAGAAATAAAGAGTTTGAGTTTGATTACGACGGGATTTAAGGCAGTTACGAATTTGGAAAGTTTTTTCGGTAGCCGGTGCCGCCGGCGCAGAATCATCGGGAAGCACAGCGGACAGTGTCCCCGTCGAGGTTTAAGGCGATTACGAATCCGCAAAACTTCTTCGGTAGCCGGTGCAGAATTATCAGGGGAGAATCAATGACGACGAGCGGCACAACGGACAGTGTTCCCGTGGTGATTACGACGGGGTTTAAAGCGGTTACGAATCCAGAAAGCTTCTTCCGTGGTGTCAATTTTATAAAAGGAAAACTGCTTCATCCCTACCGAAAAAATCCGGTATAACTTTTCGCTATCCGGATTATGGAACCGGAAATCTATGTGGATTATATCTGGACTCTATCTGGAATTTAGGTTTTCAAAAATTATTCCTTTGTCTGCAATCTGGATTTCGGGTTTCCAGAAACAAATTTACGGTTCCATAATCCGGATAGTGAAAAGTTATACCGGATTTTTCGGTAGGGATGCATCTAGCCGCGTGTACGACGTGAGGGAGGTCCGTTTCGACGGACAAGTGGATCTCACGGCGCGCCGTACCCCGCAGACGAAATTGAGCGCGCCTGCAAATAAACTTCGATTTTCTTGTTACCGTTGAGTAGACTGCGCTAATTATGTGCGTTTATTACGTACTGAATCAGCTTGACAATAACTGCGAGATTGTTTTCGCGCCGTTCCGTGATTCCCACTACTATATTCCTGTAGGCTGATGGAAACATCCAAGGGTGGGCTTGGGTGGGTGACCACGTTTCACTTCTCGATTCCGATGAAGTATTTGCTGCATATTTTAGAGTTTACCGTAGGTGTTGATGCTGTTTCATCCTCGCTAGAATAGAAAAAAGTAATTGTATTACTCGTCAGAAGCCTAAAGCAAAATGCGAACTGCAAGGCAAGAAACGCCACGTACAGTGCTAATCACAGCGTGCGGCTTTGTCCGGGGAGCGCTAGACTGGTGGCATTCGCGGAAACTAAGCTAGTCACGTGGCGCAACATGGAACGGCCCACTCGAGGGGTGACCTGCCCACTCTATCAGCTTGATAAGCGATAAAAGTAAAGTGATTTATGATATATTCTTGTTCTTTGATGATGACATCGTTGATACGCCTTCATGCTTTAGTTTGTTTATTGTTCGAGCAGTGATGTTTGTAAACAGCGTGCGAGCAGCCTTCCGCGTTCGCCGCCAGCTGATAGAGTGGGCAGGACACCCCTCGAGAGGGCCGTTCCATGTTGCGCCACGTGACTAGCTTAGTTTCCGCGAATGCCACCAGTCTAGCGCTCCCCGGAGAGAGCCGCACGCTCACGCGTTATAGACAAGTGTGATTAGCACTGTACAGTCGGGAGCAAAAGTTTGCGGGGCACGGGAGCGCCTGCCGAAATGCATTGCCGCGCCGTGCAACGGCGCTCCGCCGCATTAATAAGCCGCGCTTTGCGCATGCGCGCCATTCGTGCTGGCAGACATGTCTCTTTCGCTCGTTTCTGTCCGACTCACTACTGATAACCGGAGTCGGCCCCAGGGGCGCAAGTTGCCGTTTCGCTGGCTGTAATGCCTCGCGTCCTCTTCAGCTACCTCAGCAGCCGCGCTGGGTGACGGAGCGCCTGGTTAACCCCCCCCCCTCCCCCTTCTTCCCCGTACGCGACCTCCATGACAAAGCGCGGTGGCTGAGGCGGCTGAAGCAAACGCACAGCATGACAATCAGGGAAGCGCTAACTCGCGCCCCTGGCGCCGATTCCTGTTATCAGGAGTGCGTCGAAAAGAAACGAGCGAAACAGACATGATTGCGAGCACGAAAGCCGCGCATGCGCAAAGCGCATCTCCTTAATGCGGCGGCGCGCCGTCGGACGGCGCGGCGATGCATTTCGGCACGCGCTCCGGTGCCCCGCAAACTTTTGCTCCCGACTGTACCTGCCTTGACGCACAAGTCGCACCTAGGTCGTGCGGCACTCCGCCTCGTACGGCTTCGAAGGGAAGCCGTAGAACTTCGTGCCGTGCGCGTCCTTGCACGTACTATCGCAGCCGACCACGCAGCAATTGTTGTGACTTTGTTGGTGCAGAATAGCCATCTCAGAAATTACGGCACTAACCAGCTACAACGGCACAACCAACGCGGCGACTGGCAGAAGCTCCCCGATAAAACGGACCCGTTTGCCGCTAGGAGCGCCCTGGTCGGAGCCTGAATGAAATGTGCACGATATAACTGTAATAAATTACATTTAATATTGCAGTACATTCGGGCGTGTCGTAAATGCCGCATAATTAAGCGATAGTTTCTATACTTCGTTTCAGCTTAATTCCAGACGCAGATGACGCTACTAGCGAATGGACCAATGAAGCAGCGTCAAAAGCCCAGGTTAATGGGCTTTTTCTTTTTACGATTTTCTCAGCGATGATAGAACACGTAGAGAAACACAACAAACGCCATGATGGTGCTCTTGGACGTTGTCTGATCGGTCCCATCAGCTCGAGGCGATATTTCCGCGTGCGTGGCTGGGCGATGTGTATACGTCCCTACGAAGGCGGAAGAATATTGTTTGATAATTTTTGAGCACATTGAAAAGTACGTTCAAACTGATCGCCTTCTTATTTTTGGGTCATCTTAAGTGTTCTTTTATAGGGCATGACAGAGCGAATGGCGCGCGATA